CTGCCCCACCACTCATACTTTTTCTAAGTTTGTCTCTGTTCAGGATTGTATGTATGCAAACACACTCCACATGAAGGTTATGGACAGTCTGCAGGAGTCTGCTGTCTATTTACAAGTGGGCTCCAGGGATCAAACTCAGGTCATCGGGCTTGGCAGCAAGCACCTTTGCCTTCTGAGCTGTCTACCCTGCCCCATATGTTTTTCATTGAATAAACATACCAATTTATTAACTGTTAAACATATTTGGGTTGTTTATTTGTTTTTGCCATCATGAATGTGACTACATGTAGTGAGCATTATAGGCATTTCCTGGTGCACATGTGCAGAAGGTTTTCTGTGTTTTATTCTTAGTGGAATTGCTGGGCAAAGGAGACATAACGGTTTTGTATTGTTAGCAATGCTTTGGGTTTTTTTATTTTATATTTTCATCTTCATATGATTTGTTCTTTATCTCCTGTAAGTTCAGTGCTTTGTTTTGTTTTGTTTGCTTGTTCTGGTTTTCAAGACAGCATTTCTCTGTTTAGCCTTGGCTGTTCCAGACTTGCTCTGTAGACCAGGCTGGCCTGGAACTCACAGAGATTCACCTGCCTGCTTCCGAGCTGGAATTAAAGGCGTGCACCACACCTGGCTAGGACAACTTTTTAAAGAACATTATTTTTATGTGTATGAGTGTTTTGCCTGCTTGTGTGTCTGTGTTCCACTTGTGTGTCTGGTGCCTGTGGAGGCCTGAAGAAAGCATTGGAGTCCCTGAATGGCCATGTGGGTCCTAAGAATCAAACCTCGGTTCTCTGGAAGAGCACTTAGGGCTTTTAACTGCTGCATTTATCTTAAATTCCATCTTAGCATCTAGAAGTATATATACTTGAACAACAGAATGAATCTATTTTCCTGCTTCACTTATCCTTTCCCATCCAGTTTCTCCTTTTTTTCCCCTTGTTTGTTGGTGGGGGTTGGGGAGGTTGGGGGATGTGTGGGCAGGGGTGTGCCTGGCGAAGTCTGACGACAGTTTGCAGGCATTTGTTTTCTTTTGCACCGTGTGGGATAGAACTCAGTTTGTTAGACATGGAGCCAGGTGTCTTTACAGTCTGGGCCATGTCACTGAACTGGCACTTCTTGTATAGCCTGGGCTGGCCTGCTTCAACTTCCTGAGATCTTGGTTAGGCCTGATTCACCATGCCCAGCAATGCTGAGTGCTGGGGAATTAAATCCAGAGCCTTGTATATGTTAGGGAGGCATTTTGCCACTGAACCATATCCCCAGGCCTTAAATAATTTTTTATTCACATAGTTGATGAGTGAATGAAATGTTTTTCAGATTGATTATATTTATCTATTTATTTAGGGTTTTTTTTTTTTTTTTTTTTGGTTTTTCAAGACAGGGTTTCTCTGTGTAGCTTTGCGCCTTTCCTGGGACTCACTTGGTAGTCCCAGGCTGGCCTCGAACTCACAGAGATCTGCCTGGCTCTGCCTCCCGAGTGCTGGGATTAAAGGCCACCACCGCCTGGCTATTTAGGGTTTTTGAGACAGGGTTTCTCTGTTTAACAGTGTTCTCTGTCTTGGAACTCAGTCTGCCTGCCTCTGCCTCTCCAGTTCTGGGATTAAAGGTGTGCGCCACCATTTACATTTCAACAGTAGATTTTATGTTATCAGATGTGTATTTACACCTGCCTTTCTTTGCCTCCTTCCTTGCTTGCTTGCCTTGAGACAGAATAGCCTAGCCAGGCATGGCTGTGTGTGCATGTGTGAGTGTGTGTGTGTGTGTGTTTGTGTTGTGTGTTCCCTGTATCCCCCTCAGCTAGTCTAATAGCATAGTTCCTTCCTGTGATCTTCCTTTTCATTTTCTAACTTACTTGTGAAGCTGAGTATTTTTTTTTCCAGGTTGTTTGAGTAAGTGACTGGATTGTACTTGTTTTATAACTAGATATTTTCTTTGCTGTGGTAGGTGGATGGAGAGCTGGAAGCGCTGATGGAAAATGGTGAGGGCCTCTCTGATAAAAATCAGGTTCTTAGTTTATCCCGGCTTATGGTTAGAATTGAAACTCTGGAACAGAAACTTACCTGTCTCAAGCTCATTCAGGTAAGCACTTTAATACTATTTTTTTTATTTCTGAATTTGGTGTGGGACACTTAATGACAATCTGGCTGATAGAGAAAAGTTTATCCTGTTTTAAATGTATACGCAAGTTCTTTAGGACTTTGAAAGCTTTGCCCTTGAAAATGGCTAGCAAGTTCAGTATTATTAGTAGAATTGGTTTGCTTTTCCTTCTAGTTAAAAGCACATGCTGGGATTCCTTTTTTTTTTTTAAAGATTTATTTATTTATTATGTATACAGCATGTATGACTGCAGGCCAGAAGAGGGCGCCAGATCTCATTACAGATGGTTGTGAGCCACCATGTGGGTGCTGGGAATTGAACTCAGGACCTCTGGAAGAGCAGTCAGTGCTCTTAACC